TCCCCTGACCGACTAGCATCACCAGTCGGTTGATATTTGTGGTTCAGGATGAAAAGTCTCAACAACTATTGGATGAATTGCCCTGAAATTTGGCACAGACAATCATTTTCTCACCAGGATCAATTACTATTGCTGATGAGTCCTTAATCTTCCATGAAAGCAATCATCAATTAAGTTTTTCATTTATCCAGTGCTTTGGTTTGTGACCAAAAACCTGAACTGAATTCCATCTGCACCAGCTGTACTTTGTTTTAGCACTGATTAGCATGTGCTTTGTCCACAAATTATAGCATGCAGAACTAAGATAGTGAACATGGGAAACATACCCTCCAAAACATCAAATCTATTTCTGCATTTACTTCCTTGTAACTGCTCAAACAAACAAACTTTAGACCTCAGCTTGTCTCTGTCTTTCAATTTGGTTTACTTTACACTGCAGCTGCTGTAAACTCTTCGTCTTGTGTTATTTTGTTTAGACACAAATTAAGTGAAAGACTTTATATGAAGCACATATTTAATTTTTAGATTAAGTGTTTATACGCCCACAGTTGTTTATATTTTATTTTTATGTCTGTGTTCTATTTTTTCCCTCTTGTGTCCTTCAGTGTTTTGGTGCCACATTGACATAATTTCCCCAAAGTGTCGTAAATTCCCATGTAATGTAATCAAAATAAAGATTTATCTGTTAGAGTTTACCCAGTGTGATAAACAGCGAGCCTTCTGGACTGCATGTCAGCTCGCTGGGGGTCAGCGGCAGCAGCTGAGGATCTGCGTGTGTTTGACCGATGTGTGTCTCGTGGTTTTGTTAGATAGCCTGCAGAAGTGTGTTACCATAACCTCAGCCAGCGCGCACACTTGAAGGGTTACAAGTACAAACAGCCTGGAGTTCAATTCATCAAGTGGCAGGATACTACACTCAGCTGTAATCAGGCAGATAAGACACGACAAGGTCAAACAGACGGGTTATTTTTAGGCTTACACTAGATCACATCTGAACATAAATATGGAAATCAAAAACTCAATGTTGCTGGTTGTGCTTCAGTGTGTTGTAGGCATGTAACAGAAATGAGAATAATAAATGTAGTCAAGTTTCCATATTAGAGGTCATCTTCCACAGTGCTCTTTTGTTGGGCTGTAGTGGTCGAGTCCTAATGGTAGTCTAAATCCTGCTGGAGCTGTTTTCAGTGTAACAGTGCTGGAGTACAGTACACTCTGTGCTTTGAGCCTGTTCTACATGTAATTACCCCACAGTCAGTGGGCCAGACACATGAGCAATCAAATAGAAAACATGGTCCTGATATATGAAAATAATAAGAGAAATTAAGCTGAAGCCAAACTGGCGCCACATATTACTGTGTTGTATGGGTTTCAAGTTTGTAGACCTAATCTTTTTGTCGCTGAAACACAGATTGATGTTTTTACTCTAAAGGCTGATTAAAAAAGATAGACTTTAATTGAAGATTTAGATTCAAGACTGGAGATGAATCTGCGGTTTGGTGCAGCTCCTGCAGTGATGCGGGTGTTGCGCTGGACAGTCGAACTGAATTGAAGGCAAAGCTTTGGATTTACTGGTCCATCCACGTCCCAACTCTCACCTACGGCTATGAGCTCTAGGTAGTGACCAAAAGAATGAAATTGTGGATCCAAGTAGCCGAAATGAGTTTCCTCGGTGGGGTGGCTGAGCCCAGCCTTAGAGATAGAGTGAGAAGCTTGGACATCCAGAGGGAGCTCGGATGCGCCTTCGCATCGAAAGGGGTCACTTGAGGTGGTTCGGTCATCTGATCAGGATGCCTCCTGGGCACTTCCTGTTAGAGGTGTTCTGCGGATAAGCGGTTGAAAATGGATGGATGGATGGATGGATGGATGGATGGATGGATGGATAGATGGATGGACGGACTTCAGACCAGACAATAGCCAAGAAAACTGTTTGCAGAAAACATTCTAGTTCTTTATTTTCTTAGGGCCCTGACGCACTTAGCCGAGGGTTGACCGTTCGTCAATGTCAGGCCGTCAGTGAGCGTCTGTCGCCTCAGTTTTCGCATTGTGTCCCTTACTGTTGGCACTAGTTGGCCCCTGTCACCTTTTTTTTTTTTTGGCCAATTCCAGTGTTGAATCTGTGGCAGAGCCCGCAGGGCCTATTAGGGAGTGACATCACTGATTGGCAGTTCAGCTCAGTGCACGAGAAGAGCAGTTGAAGTGAGGAAGGCAAACAAACAACTTTAGTCAAGAGGATGAGATCAACACAAACAACCAAATAACCTCAGAGGGACAAAATAACATCGACATGAAGCTACTGTTTCAGTGTCAAATAATACTTAATTAGAGCACAACATTCACATAAAATTAAAGCACTAGGAAAGCACTTAATATTCTTTCAATTATGAACGATTCTCTGCCAAAATCAGCAGAAGGAAGTGTGTACGAACATTTGTTTGTGGCATGAATCTCTCTCTGTCCTGACACTTCCCTGTTGTTACATTTTCTTTTAAAGCATCTGCCTCTTTGAATAAGGTCTGCCTGTCTGTTTATGTACTGTTTAAGTCTTAAAAGCTGAGTAAATCCCCTCAAGGAACAAAAAGCTATTACCTTAGAAGCACTCCCTTCCTTGAACATTTTAAAAGTCTATTGAAAACTGCGTTGAAGTAAACATGTTGCTGCTCTATACAGTATTTGGCCGAGGTGGATTGTGTATGGACGTCATTGGTTTGGCCTGTATACTACTTTTCTCTTACAAGTTTTCCTCTTGTGTTTTAATATATGACATGGGTTACTTTTTATACTTTTGAGACTGATTGTGCTGCAGTCTTGACCAGGACTCTCAGGAAGACGAGATCTTGCATCTCAATGGGATCTTCCTGGCTCAATAAAGGATGAATAAATAAAAGAACAGGAGAATAGTGATTGCCCATTCCTCTTATATTATTGATACTGTGTGTGTGTGGAACGATCTAAATCATTGAACTGTATTGGTGGACGTGGGGCAGTACGTGCTTGTGTATTGAGCTACACTCTGTAGACTCATGTTTTGATATTGTTGCCGCTGGCCCAAGAAAGTATTGCTGTAATCATGTAGTGTAATCCCAGTATAATAGAAGATATCCACAGGTGTTAATATAAATATAATTATAATATTGTCCTTCAGGTTGTGATCACATGCTTTAGTTGACGCGTGTAAATCCTGCATAAGCTACAGGTGTTCCCAACAGGTAGTATGCTTGACTAATAACTTGTAACAGTAGAGTGAGATGACAGGATTACAGGATTACAGGCAGCTCCAACATGTTGTGGCCTGAGGCCTCTGCATTCTTAATCCGTGCCTGTTTGATGTATCATCAGAATTGTCTTTTGATTGTGTGCACACAGCCTATTTAGGGCCTGTCGGTGTACTGCAGAGTTTAATCTTCAGCTCCCTGGTTTATGGTTTCTTATTCCGTGTTACATGCATAACCAAAATGCAGAAGATGTATGTGACATCTGTGCAGAGATACTGCCTATCAACATGTTTTAGGGCTTTTTAATCCACAATGGGACAAGGACAACATGACCTTTCATTTAATGCAGCTGGGAATTGCACAACATAAATAGACCATGCAATATGCGCATCACTCTGTGGACCCTACGTGCTATGTAAATTAAATATTTCATGAAATAGCGAACATGATTCAGCTGGAGAGGCACATGTTTGTTGTTTTTTTGCTTCTTGTTGAACATCATGTGGTGCACAAACGGCACTATGTTGTCTCTGCTGGCCTTCTCCACTGAATGCCTCTGGGGACAGTAAATGGTGTTACACTGCAAGTGTTCAAATGTACGGTGCCCAAGACTGCATTAGCCCAGTGAACCATCAGGTGTGCACTGCAGAGAATGAATAGCCTGAAGCGCTTATACAACCTCCAACTGTGTTATCCATCTCCCTGCTCTTACTCGGCCTGTCAGTCTCAATCTTTGTTTGAAATGTTTTTATTATTTCACAGATATTTCCACAAGTACAGGCCACTTTATCTTCACGTTGTGTGTAGATATTTACTGACGATAAACCCTAATTTCTCTGATGCCCCCCTGACTTTTCCGTTCTGCACATAACACATGTAAATAAGAACGTAACAGGCATTGGATTGGGATTTCAGTGATATTTAGACAGCATATTTGGGCTCCTCAGAGGATTAACCCCTAACACTGTGGGCTTCTCCAACACCACCCGAAGGACACTCATAGTCCCAGTGCTGGTGAGGCTTTTAAACCAGCACTGTGTGGCTGCTCTGTCGCTGCTGCTGTATGAGAATGGCTGGAGTAGAGGCAAATTGCAAAGTGCTTTGTCTTTTGATGTAGAAAAGCACTATTTAAATGCAGCCAGTTTATCAATTACCATTTCTCTGCCAGCTGCCCACACTAGCTAACGGTCAAGTGCATTTTAAAATGATGGGAATGGGATTTAACGAGTCATGCCAAATCTTCTGTGATTGGATAAATTTATGTAACGGCTAAGTTGAGTCATCAAAAATATTTTTAGACTGTACAAGAAGAGAAAAGAAAGAGTTTCATATAAAAATACTTAAAAATAACACAATGACACACAATTAGAACTTGGAAAATGTATTTCTCAATTTAAGCTGACAGCTGGGGAAAAGGTATTGAATAAAATCAGAGTGGCAGTGTAGCTGGAATAGTGTTTCATGCTTCATGGTGTGTGTGTGTGTGTGTGTGTGTGTGAGAGTTCAAGGAAGTTATGCTTGCGTGATGGAGGATCGCTCTCAAAGTGAATTCCTTTCAAGGTGACTGCCGACCACGTGATCGCCAAGAATGATTGCATGTGAGAGATGATCCCAATCTGCAAAACCTGAATACAACCGACCCATCTCACTACATACAGTCAAAATACTGTAGAGATTGTCGACCTTGTAGTGTTTGGTCAAAATGATCTTTGTTCTTAAGGAGTGAGAAATGTTTCTGTACATACACTAATCTGTGATATTTTGTCTCTGTGCTTGTCTTGCTTCTAGCCGATGAAAAATCTTTATTCGGATGACGGCTCGCCTCTGAGGTTAGGCCCATTCTTCTCTGATGGCCGGCGGCGGGTGGACTACGTGCTCACTTACCAGATCCAGAAGCCTGGCGGCATCCGGCGCCAGTCCTCCAAGTTTTCAGGAGACAATTTCATCCACCGGCTTCGGCGCAGCCTGAGCTCGAGAAGCAGCCGTGCCCCACTGCAGCCAAAGGAGGACCCGGAGATCGCCGCCCAGGAGCAACGGAGTGACTATCATGAGGATGACAAGCGCTTCAAGCGGGATGAGTTTGAGGAAAAGCTCCTGGAGACGGGGCTGGAGCTGGAAAGGGATGAACGGGTAAGAGATGACTATGATGTGGTATTGTGACAACTGACCTTTTACCTACTGTTGCTACACTTGTCAAGCTTTCGGTTCTAGCACTGAGCAGATGAAGTGTACAATGATAACAGTGGTAAATTTATCACTTGAAATTCTTAGTCTTTCTTTTTAAACAAAGGCTGCATGTGTAGAGACTGATGCAGAGCATTAAAATAGCAGCGAACCACTGTATGCTATATGAAGATATAGTGGAGTAATGGCGTCCTGAGCAGAGAATGAAGTTACACTCCCTCTGTGTGTGTTGTAATCTGAGCTTCCTTGTACTTTGTTACAGTCGGTCCTGTCACAAGTACATGCTATTGCGTGTGTGTATCCCACTGGCTAGCTCATCGCTGGCGCTTTGCACTGTGTTCATACAGTGGCTCCACTGATACTAGGACGGTATGGTTGCAGAGAGTCATGCCCACCATTTGGTTCCCCCCTGGTTAGCAATGTTAGCTCTGTCAGCACTGTTGCTGTTGTTTAGCACTGTTTATAGTGTTAGCACCGTTAGCTGCCACCTCCATGTTGAGAACTGTGTCCAGAACAGGCCCACAGGAAGTGTGGTGTGCTTTGAAGCCAGTTTTCAAAGTAGCCAAACAGTGGAACACATGATGCCGTGTGGCCCCAAAAGAATTTTCCCATTGACTTGGCGAAACAGACGTCTGTTAATCAGTGAGTACATTTTTTTAAGCATCACAACCCCTGCAAAAAGAGTTCATTTCACAAACAGGATTTCAGGAGAAACTTGTTCTGAAGGAAAGAATATTTATTTATATGTGCACTTGTAACAACTGGTGAACCATGTGAGATGGGACTCAAACGCACGACTCTGGAGACAGTTCGGGTAAAATAAAATGTGGGTTCAATACACAGAAGAACAATCAGTGGAGGCAAACAAATCCAACAGGGATGAGGCAGCGAGAGAGTCAATCAACAGGCTAAATCCAAAAAAAATAAGAATAGGACACTGGGAAACAAAAGGCTGGAACGACACACAAGGAGCTAAGACAAACTGGCACTGAGAGGAAACAAGACACACACTAAATACTGTGGTGAGGGGAAGGATGACGAGACACAGGTGAGACTAATCAGGGCGGGACAGACAATCAGACGCAGGTGAGGTCATCAAAAGGGAGGGAAAACACACAGGGGGTTTAAAAGGAAATCAGGAAACAACATGGCTAAATGAAATAAAAAACATAACCTATGAAACTTGAGCTGTGACATGCACGATTAGACCCCATTGTGATGTCAAATATTCCAGGAGAGGTAAAAACGTAGTAGAATAGGGAATAAATAAGGGAGCCCCTGTAACACAGCCCCACATAGAATAACCTGAGAGTGACAGGATTGGATCTCCTGAGAATTTGAATGTCTGTGAGAGATACATTTGAAGCCCATTTCCATCTCTTTCTCTCTTTTGTTTCGATCTCTCTGGAGTTCAACTCTATTACCTTTTAAACCCAGCTGTCACCCTGCTACTATCAGTGTAATGACTTTCCCTGATTATCTCGCGCCTCAGAAGAGGGGCGACCTGCTGTAAAAGAGCTGTTGTCATCTGTTATTCATGAGCTCATGCTTCAGGTACATTTAGGATCAACAGGGATGGGTATTGATTTTTACTGGTACTGCTGCTCTTACTAATACTGCTTATTGTTACGGTACGTTTACTGGTTGTTTTCATTTTTTTTTTTAAAGAAAAATGAAACAAACTAAAACAGAATTAAATGTTAATTAGCTGACTTGTTTACTTCACACACTTGTCGTACTACTTGTCGTAGTAACCTAGCAATACACGGCTGGAATATAATTGATAGCCAATTAGCTAACAATCTGTCGAGCTCTGAAACTTGGTCTGAGAATTTCTAAATGACAGTTCAGGTGATGCTTTGAGCATTTGAGATTGAATAAAATCACACCAATATTTACAGCTAAACAAACCGCTGGCTAATGGTCATATTTAATCAGTAACCCATGCTCACAACATTTAGTTAACTCTGTGTGGGCTCTAGGGTGCTAGCAGGGAACTACCCATTGGTCCCGACAGCCCATTGGTCCGACCATATTAAACCCATTGTTCCGAAGTCCGTTCCGAAATCATCATGATGCCCTGTGGTTAAGGTCTGGTTAGGTTTAGGCACTAAAACCACTTGGTTAGGGTCAGGAAAAGATCATGGTGTGGGTTAAAATGAAAAAGAAAGTGGCAAACACATAAGCCGTGAGCCTGCTCCGCCTGAAGCCTTTCCCAGCTGACCCAGAGCCGGTCGCGGCGCACCATCAAGGTAGAAATATGCCCGCCGGGAGCCATTCAGTACCGCGGACCATCGGACTAATGGGATGTCGGACCAATGGGCTGTCGGACCAATGACATGGACCCTTGCTAGCATACTAACATCCCTGAGGTGTATGGGACACCAAGAGATGAATTACAAGCATATCCCTGCCTGTATGTGATGCATTTTTGCTTGGTGTTTTTAAAGATTGCTCATGTTTCTGCTAAACCAGCGTTATTGGTGAAACTTGCCTACGATAGTGGCTAATGGCTGCGCAGCCTCCACTAGTCGTGCAGATGTGCATTACCGACTGGAGCTGAGGAGGAGAGGGTTGTGTTGAATGGAGCAAAAAGGTGCTGATTAGTGGGTACAGGTCCCTTCTGCTGTGTGAGTGTGTCTCAGTGTATTGTTCAGGCAATTGATTAATCGGCTATCGTTTTTTTCCTGTTCCAATCCAAATCCAATATCGGTTGAGCTCTAGTTTGCACCCTTACATAAAATAGGCTTGTTGCACTTGTGTCAATGAGCATTGTCAGTATCGACTTAAGTGAAGTGTAACCAGAGTGTTTATTTCTATTTCCCTTTGTCACTAATTGTCATTGTCACTAAGAGAAAGGCAGAGAGCCTTGCAGATACAACAGGCTCTGAGAAAGAGATCTTTCTTCAGGGAATAGCAAAAATGCATCGTAGACAAAAATGTGTTATCTTATTGCAAATTAGAAATGGAGCCGATACGGCAAAAGGTGCATTATAACTTTAAATGAAGTCTATATCGGAAATCTATTATCTTATATCTCCAATACTGAAAGCAGAACCGAAATCACAGGAGCTTATCAATACTACAATTTTTAATAATTCAGCACACTGGCCTGATTAATACTGGGTGTCTGTACACATCCCTGTATTGATCAAACACTGAATTTACTATTCTGTTGTTTTTACCTCTGGTTTGAATCAATAGATGTGTCAGCTTAAATGAATGGAGGTTAAGCTGTATAAAAGGAGGTGAGAATAGTTCATTATGTTGTACATATGGGCTCAGCTTGAGGACCAGTCTGTGATGCTGTGCACAGTCAGTAACAGAAGGTGCTCAGTGTGTTACATGAGTCTTTGTGTGTGAGTGTGTGTGCGCCTGTGTGTGTAGGACAGCATATAATTATACATCAAAGGAAAATAAAGGAATTAGGGAGATATGAATTAACTATGTGTAACCAGAAGCAATCATTTAATCACTAAAACAATGGTTAGACCTGAGCTAAATTCTCACATTAGCATGCTAACCTGTACAGTAGTACAGCTAGCATGTTGATGTTTAGCAGGTATAGCATACCATGTTCATCATGTTGGTTTAGCATGTTAGTATGGGCAGTGACTTCCGGTGTCAGACACCGACGAAAAAAGCTGTCCTTCCACATTAGCATGGTACGTGGCCAATCGCCGTTATTGTGTGATGGCATCCGGCAGCGTCAGGTGGAAATGCAGCGGGACAATAACATAAGTTAAGTGGACGAAAAGTCCAAGTGGTGGTGGATGGGTCCAGGAACCTTCGACTTTCACCCAGGAGGCCTCGCTTCCCGTAAGATTAAACAGCCAAACCTTGTTCTTTTGTCCTAAACACAACCACGTGTGTGAGTTGGCTAAATGTAACCATGTGTGTTTGTTGTCAAAATGTGGTCTTTTTATTTTGAAAGAAACTGTATGCAAACTGTACATTTCCTGTGAAAGCGGCAGTGAAACCCTGTAACACACAAGATTAGCTACAGTCCATGAATGGAAAGCTCTCTGGATGTTTCACCAGATTGTGGGCAAACATCTCCTCCTGAGCTCCTCATTTCAGATGGCTATTGCTGGCTGAAGTAATGTAAATGTTAGGTTGCAGCGGTGCTACTTCCTGCTGATAGCCACCGCTTATGTTTGGCTGTCTTAATATGATCTTTTATATCAGTATTTCCACTGTGCAACCAAAAATGTGGTCTTGTAGGCTATGGAGCTACATTAGGGTCACATGTTTTGTACTTGAAAAAACAAAATTTGAAACTGAAAATTCATGTGTTGATCTTGAATTTTGAAAAATACAACAATGTATTCAAAATAAAAATAAGTGTATGAAACGTTTTTTCAGGTTAAATATAATTTTGATTCACTTTGGTAATTCTTTTGAATGAATAATTTATTTTCACTTTTCACTTCCATATATATTTTAACATTTGAGGTCTTATTTTTTTTCAGTTGCATGTTTTATCTTTTCAGATTCAGATCTTATTTTTTACAGTTTCAAATCTTATTTTTTCACTTTCAAATCTTTTTTTCACTTTCAGATCTTTTTTTTTTCAGTTTCAAATCTGTTTTTTGAGTTTCAGACTTTTGACCCTAATGTGGCGTGGGGGGCGTGGCATCAACTGAGAGGGGTGTGGAATCATGAGTGACAATGCCTTCAGTGAACGTAGGAACTAAAAAAATTCTGACTCAACACTTACATACACCATATTCATGTGACTGGCAGTGTAAAAATTGATGCCAGTGACAAACTTCCATTTGCTGATATGTCCGATTTCCACATAGCACTGTGAACGCAGCGTAGTGTCCGTTTTACTTGTGATGATGGCGTCCAATCGGTCGGGTCAATCTGCTGGAGCCCATACATCCAGCACACAGGTAAGAAATGTTAACTAAGCTTTGGGAAATCATAACAAATATTAAGGG